GTATCTAACATACGGGGTTTTGACTGGCCTCGGTTTTGGAATGATGTTTTTTCAAAGCATTGTCTCCGTCCAGGATCATTTTGAGAAGAGGAAAAGTCTAGCCATGGGGGTTGCAGTGTGCGGATCAGGTGTTGGGACATTTTCAATGGTTACCTTCACAGAATTCATCATTCAAGTTTTTTCTTGGCGATACGCACTTCTGGTATTGGCTGGATGTTCTCTCTCAGGAATTGTTTTTAGCATTCTGATCCCTACATCTGAATTAAAGAGCAACGAGGGAAACGGGTCAGAACACACCTCAAATTGCTGTGACAGACCGACGAAGTTTTTCAAAAAGGTGATCCATGTATCCTTATTAAAAAGAGCTGATTTTGTTGTGTGGCTAGTGTGTATGTTAATGATCCAAATAGGACTCGTGGTGCTCCATATTTACATACCAGATATAGCTCGAGACGTGGGGATAGGGGTGAACAAAGCGGTGTTCCTGCTGTCAATTGTAGGTGTTGCTAACACAGTGGCTCGAATCGTGATGGGTGCGTTTGCAGACTTCCGGTGTGCTAACAGACGCTATATGCTTGGGGCAAGTATAATGGTGAGAGGCGTCATTGTTTCCATGCTGCCGTCTTTGACGGGATACGAGGTGATTGCGACGGTGTGCGGTTTTTATGGTTTGACCGTGGGTACGTGAGATCCTGGTAACTTTTCAGAGTTTTTATTTTATACTTAATTGTACAGCAGCATGAGTTATTTGCACTGTTCATATATATACACTAAAGATGTACGTTATACACAGGGGTGCATATTTGTTTGTGCGTGCATCTTATTTTGCAGGCATGTCACTCTTAATATACCCTCTCCCTTTCTGTACTCAATATTGTTAAAATTTGTTTTTTCTTGAAGCTAAAAAACATACTAAATAAGAGTCCCTAATAAGACACATTCATATAAATACATGTAATACAAATCTCCTTCTTTTATTTGAGTATATATATAGTTACGGTATTCCATTATATAATAGTGTGTTTATTTGTAATTGTATCTATTGAACATTTTCATTTACGCATGCAGATTTTTTTGCTACAACGGGTAAACATTTTTTAAACATTGACACCATCCAATCTAATCACACGATGCATTTGGATACAATGTATTTCTGCTCGTCCTACAGGTACCACTATCTCTCTGGTCCCGGTTGTTCTGAGAGATTTAGTCGGTATTGAGAAACTCGGACCTTCATTTGGACTCACCATGGTAGCCGTAGGTTTGGGTTCCCTACTGTTATCGACTGGAGGTATGTCAGCCATAAATTTTGACGGTATCAGGACAATTCCCCCCGGACAATCCCCCCCCCCCGACTATTCCGCCCGGACACCCCCCCGGGACAATCCCCCCCCCAGGACAAATATTCATAAAATATCTGTTTACCTGTTCATCTGTTTACCCCACCGTTATACTTCGATTAGATATTTAATAAATCTTCCTGTACTTGTAGTCAATGAAAAGGGAATTTGCTCTGAAATAATTTGTTTCATGATGAAGTTGTATTATCACACTTAAAATATTAATAAAATGGATGAAATGTTTTAAACTTTACACTTTCTACTTTATATATGTATATATAAATATATATTTCTTGGGAGGGGGGGTTCCGGGGGGTATAGTCCGGGGGGGGATGTCCTAGAATCATTATGACATTATTTCTTTTCATATTTACTATTAATGCCTGATGATATTATATTCCAGTGCTATAATTGTTATAACTATATACATACTGTAGGAGAAGTATGTGCTTATGCTTTCGAGTTGTCAATATTAATTTTGGATGTATTTTTATTATTCCTACGGAATTGCAAATAATTATTGATTTTTTCTCGTACAAATAAATAATAAAATTAATGATACTTGTAATAAATCAGTATTTTGAATTAATGATATAACAGTGCCACAGATAATATGTCAAGATATAATTGCTAGCTATTTGCTAACCTGTTTATATCAGTCAGCCATTTTACGTCTTTAAACCTATTAAATACTTTTATTCTGTTTTATTTCAGGCAGTCTGTACGATTTAACCGGTTCTTACGACTTGACACTTTACATTACCGGCTCTCTATTGTTCATTGCCGGTGGAACAATTATGTCGTTACCATGGGTACGCAAGATGCAAAATCGATGCTGTTACCATGGCAGCGCAAGTATCACCACAGAAACGGATCCGTAACTAAGTGATACATTGTTACTGGGATTCCCATAAAGGATAACTTAATTGTAACTCACAGAAATCTAAAGACATGTGTTAAAAGAAGCCAGGGGAACTTCTTTCGTTTTCTCAAAGCCCGTTATAAAGCATGTTTTATGGATATCACATATGCCCCATTAACCATTATTGCGCATCTTTTTGATGGCGCAAAGGCTGTATTTAATAGGTTAAAAGTATCTTAGTTTTTTTAAAAGATGTGATGTACGCGCCTAAAACTGACACATTAAAGGTAAAGGAAAAGGTACACTTTCTCTCAAGATCTGGTCATAATATCTACCATCAAAAGTAAATCACTAAAGAAAAATTGAAAAAAGATTATTTCTTTCGTCGCCAGATTGGCAAAACAAGCCCCTGCATGTTGCAAGTCACTCCACCTGTACTAACTTACTACAAAGATCTTATGATAGTATTTCTAACCTTAAAACGGACAATACGTGTTGGAACTTTATAAAGCAAGGGGAGAATTTTCATAAAAGGTCAGCAATGTTATTTTTTTTTCATTAAACTATTCTTATAAAAACAATCCATAAACTCACCGTGTTTTATTTTTCTCGTTTTGACAATCTTGCAATGGAAATAGAATCTGGCGAATTTCACTCATGGTGCCTAACTATAGACATTTAGAACCCGTGTTAATTAAGTTCCATTGTTTGTGTCTTATACATGTACTTATGACTTATAATAGAATTCGCAATACTGTTAACACCATAAATCTGTCCCAAAAGTGCACCAGAACTGAGCGTGATCAAAGGATGTCTGGTTATTTAATTGTGCCCACATATGCATCATTTCCCAGCAGGCATAGTGACATTGGATCAACGTTGAAAACAGGCCGGACCGTTGATCTACCTAAATTCAACGTCAAATCAATATTGTTGATCCAGCCACATCAAAACGCCGTCATAATGTAACGTTGACTCAACGTTGTTGTCTGGTCATCGTGATGCAAGACATGGGTCGTAATTTAAAATATTTAATTATTAAAAACGTGATACTATGTTTATATAAAGGCCTATATACGACATAATGTATTAAAATAATTTTACGGCAGCTGCAAGATATAACGGGTATGTTGCCTTGGGTAATAATAAGTTCTAGCCTATTAACATCAACAACAGTACTGCATTATCCACATATTGTTCATTAATTCCTGAAAAGATTAAATAGACATCAATACTGTAACGAACTTTATCAAAATATGAAAAACAGTGCTTTAAAGTAAAAGTGATATATATATATATATTTTTTTGTGTGTGTGTGTGTCTTTAGTGAACTAGTGAATTTTCTTAACTTGTTATTCAGAAATACATTCCAATAAACTTCCTCGCAAGGTCAGCTTACACAAGGAGGAATAAGTTCAGCTGTAAATGTGATGGAGTGAAGTTAAGGGGGAATGTACTGAAATAACGCTAAAAATTATCATTTTGGGTTTTTATGTCTAATTATTGGTTGAATGTGTATCTAACTTTTAACGGAATAATCTTTTTACATTTTGGACAAAAAATATATTTTTTCTGAGGATTTTGATGCTGCACTCATCGGCACCGGTGGTTTGGTCTATGCCCCGCCTTCGTTTCTGACACATTGGATTTTCTCAAAATACGCGTTTTTCCTTGAATTGCTTGTTGCTATACATGTACTTTTGATTTTCTTAACTTAACATTTGGAGATACGAAAAAAAAAAAAAGAAACATTCCGCTGCTTGCTACCTGTGACAGCAACCGTCAAACTATCGATCAATCTTAGTCAGATTTTATAGATCCATGCAACTTGGGCCATCTGGCCTAGCATCGAGGCGCATGTTTATCAAATCTTTAACCTGACAACTAATGATTACTTTGCTCTACGATGGTGATAATTTCTGTGTTTTGGACTTTTTCTGACGTGAACATTGCGTCGAATACTGACTGAAATCATATACAAGATTGCTTTGAAAAGACTTGAGCCAATATCCTAGCGTAACCTTTCATCGAGTGACGTAAAATATCAGTACATGTGCAAAAAAAAAAAAAAAACTAAGCAAGAAGAGCTAATGATATCGCTAGACTCGCGCGAACAATAGTAAGCTGAGATCACGTGAGGGCTGTAGTATTTATAACATTTTGATTTTTCAGAATTATTCATTTCAGCTATGAGATATGAGCCGGTACCATAATTTCCTCCAAACGCAACCGAGATTTAATTACAGCTTTGGAAGTAACTCGCTCGCTCTGCTATTTAATTACGCCGCGGGGTATTCAGGGCACAGACCGTGATCACTAGATACTGCCAATGGATTTTTAAGTTTTTAGAATTTAGATTTTTCATGTGAACATAGCCTAAGCCCTATATCATTTTCAACCTAAATGCTGGTATACCGCGAGGTACAGTTCTGGCTGCATTTATGCACTTTCATGGCCGACATGTTTTTTTTTTTTTTTTTTTTTTTTTTTTTTTTCAATAATTATCCCAATTTCTGCCAAACACAACTTTACACATTTCCTCTAACAAGCCCTGCCTGGTTGCATCTATTTCTTGTTGCTGATGGTCCGATCGGCGTCCCGTAACACGACCGTGTTTTTGAACCATTTTTCGCTCGGCGAATGTGGACAAGACCACCTGCGATGATGCTATATTGTGTGCACATCCTAGAGCACATCCCTAACACTTGCCCCGACGTCAGTTGACGTGGCCACTGATTGGTTGAGTAGTTAGAGCTTACTTGATTGCCTGTCAATCATTCTGGTAGTGCTACCGGTAACCCCTTGAAGTTACTAACAGGAGGTGAGATTGATACAAAAATAAGATTTTCTGACATCCAAATGCATGCAAACAAGCTAATTTCAACCCTCAATAGAGTACCCATCTTCGTGATTGCCAGAACGATAACAGGTAAAGCTGTCAACAATTTAATTTGCTATTTTGGACAATTAACCTCCTTGAAAGGGTTTTTGCTTGTTTTCTATGCTTTCAAGGTTGACGAGATAGCGTTATCGGAGCGAGCTATAACTGTCTACCTGTACACTTGAGGGAGACCAAATTCACCAAGCTTGTTAAGAAAAGTATGCACTGCAAGTGCTTCTAAATTTTTTTTCATTGATCCTCTCTTTTCCAATTTTTTGACTTTGAAAGTGAAAATTCCTTTATATTTTGATATAATTTCACGTTTTTATAGATAAAATCATAAATAAGTCTCTAAAAAAAATCCCTGATTTCCTTTTGTAGTACTTTGTTCAAGTGTTATAATACCATTAAAAGCATGTTTATAGCTGTCCAGGTGCCTGAAAAAATCAGGTGTTTAAAAATGGTGTTTTCGTCCCCCAAACCCCAATATTACGTCACACGATGAAGTTGGAGCTGTGTTTCAACATAATTAGAAGTTTTGAAGATACATTAAATGAATGTCATAGGAATAAAAAAGCTAAGACCTTTATTTTAAGAGAAAATCTCCAACCTACCTGGACATTCCCCCCCTAACGATGTTGACAGATCACGATATCCTGCTATAGATAGATACTGTATATAGATAGACATTACAGGTTGAGGTGACCGTGACTTTCTTATTATATGTGTGTGTGTGTGTGTGTGTGTGTGTACAAAGCTATACTGTGGAAATCCTAATCTAATCGTCTTGTCAACGTTGAAAAACATAATTTGCCAGCTGGGTTGTATCTGAGAGAATAAGGTCCATTGTCAGGACCTTATGACTTCTAGCCTGACTGTCATAAATATAAAGTACTAAAAATGGACCTTAAATCATGAAAGCTTGTTTACAGATTCATGGCTCAGTATATACTTGCACATGTAGTTACACTACATACTCCTTGCGCTTGCTTCACAAGACAACATTTATCGGATCACTTATATTTGAAATTAGATCATACAGAATGAACTCAGGCCAGTAGGCAGCAATTTCAAAAGGGGGGTTCGTTTTTCTGAAAAAGTGGACATTTTTCCATAAAAACATCATGTGCCTACATCAAATTTTACCCAGCGAAAGGGGCGGTTCTTTCGAACCCCCCGACCCCCCTGGCTACGGGCCTGGAACTGTATTCTTTGATGACAAGGCTTGACTTCACGTCATACAGACGCATGTGATTTAACAGCTTGATTGCCTCGATCAGATAAAAATCGGTCTTTGCATAAGGCAGATAATAATCTTGACACAAAATCTGTCGTACAAAGGAAATGTACGCAAACGCTGCAGGGTAATGCAAAGGACAGCACGGATGAGAGGATGTTATGTAAGGTACAGACAAAAGTAAACGTGCACGTGCTTGGTTACATGTTGTTGTATGATGTGTCTGATACGTTATTGAAGAAGGGAAGGGGTGGCGATGTCGCGATAAGAGATGTGCAGAAATTTGGTGTAAACAACGAGGCGGTGTTTAGAATCGAGGAGGACGTTCTTTTATGAGTGAATTTAGTACCAGTCTGCTGATACATTTTTTTCCTAGTTGTGGTGTTTTCCCCTCAATTGTTTCTCTTTTGAGTCTCATTTTTTAACCTTATTTTGAAGTCCGTATATCGGACAACAAGGGCGCCGATATGTTTAGCGCATCCCCGAATACCGCAGTACTAGAAATTCTAGAACAAGATGGGTATACCAATGGCGGGTTTAATAACGATACAATACACGATGACAACCCTGATAGTGTTGAAGAAGGACATGATTCTGAAAAGCGTAGAGAATTAACCGAGAGAAGCACCGAAGGAGAGAGTACGCACTCAGGTAATACATAAATAGTAAATAAGGAGGTTTTTTATTTATTTTATTTTATTTATTTATTTTTATTTATTTTTTTTTGAAGGGGGGGGGGGACAAGCCTGACAGTACACTGAATATAAGGAATCATAACGTAATGTTCGCCTTACAATGTGGATGATAAAGCAGACCCTGCCAGCATTAATGCGTCAAAACTGGATTCATTTTAAGGGGACATTAATGGGAATGACAATTAGTGTTCCAAAAGTAGCACGTCAAGCGTGTTTTGAAAAGGACTCCAAGATGACAGTGAAATTTCCGCATTTGAACCTAGAATTAATTAATGGTGAAAATTAAACATGGTCCTGAAAGCTGGTAGGTTATATTGTTTGAATAGTCAGATGCAACATGCCTGTACTTAAATAGTTTAATTTACACTGTGTTTTTACAGATAAACAACGCAGGCTGAGCTGTAAGTCGGCGAAGTCTATAGGGAGTGTAATAGACTCGAGACGACCGTCAGTGGACACAAACTCCAAAGTTCCGACCGACCGTTGCATCGACTGGTTGGTAGTATTGGCGTCCTTTTTCATTCACTTCATCGTAGACGGTATTATGTACTCTTTCGGCGTGCTCTACATCGCCCTGCTGAACGAATTTGAAGAAAGCAAGTTGGCGACATCTTGGGTTGGCTCCATTCAGATAGCTGTGAGCTTAATCATAGGTACGGTATGCTCGGTAAGCAGTTTTTTCACGTCTCCCAAAAATTAATTAATAAAATTACCTTTTTAATTGATAGCTAGAGGCCCACCTGATGTCCATGTCGATGTTTTATGCCATCAATGCCTGTGAAGGGATTTTATATCACAGATTCACAGTAATACCAACATAACGACCGATCTATCTATTACAAAATAAAATATCTAATGTTTTGCAATACAAAATGTTGTTTGAACGATTATAGCCTTAAGCAAGTACAGGGTATGAAAAAATTAAATGAAGCTTTCTGATTGGATATTTTTAGGTCCAATAGCAAGCGCCCTATCTGAGAAATTTGGACACCGGGCTGTTGGAATCACTGGTTCTATTCTCGCTGCATGGGGATTTGGGATGTGTTTCTTGGCGCCAAACTTGTCCATGTTGTATATTTCATATGGGGTTATGACCGGCCTCGGTTTCGGACTGATGTATTTCCCAAGCATTGTGTCCGTTCAGCATCATTTTGAGAAGAAGAAAAGCCTAGCCATGGGCGTAGCAATGTGTGGATCTGGCGTTGGGACATTTTCGATGGCACCCCTCTTAGAACTTCTCATTGAAAGTATTACTTGGAGGTACACTCTTCTTGTACTGGCAGGGCTATCACTCTCGGGGATCGGCTTGAGTATGCTGTTCTTTCCACCTACATTAAAGAGCAAAGAGGAAAATGAGACAAAACAGAACTTAAAATTCAGTGTCAAAACGGATATGTCCTTAAAGAACTTGATCCACATTCCCTTATTAAGAGAAGCTGATGTTGTCGTGTGGCTAGTTTGCATGTTAATGTTCAAAGTAGGAGTCGTGGTTCCTCACACGTATATACCAGATGCCGCACGAGCCAAGGGGATAGAAGTGAACAACGCAGCGTTCCTGGTGTCCATTGTAGGAATTGCTAACACAGTGGCGCGAGTCGTGATGGGTCTTTCTGCAGACTTCCGGTGTGCTAACAGGCGCTATATGGTTGGGACAAGTGTAATAGTTGGAGGCGTCATGGTCTCCATATTGCCTTTTATGATGGGGTACGGCGAGATTGCCACCGTATGCGCTTTCTATGGATTGACAGTTGGTAAGATATAAGTTATAAAACAAACAAACTAAATGAAACTGTGCAATAATACTAAATGTATCTTGTGAGATCTCTGTTAATGTGTCATATAGCTTTTTTGTGTTGACATTACAATAAAACTATGAATATCTAGTAGATGTTGAAACCTAGTGATTTATAACAATTAAGAACGTCTTTCTTTTTGTGCATGTATCGTAGTTCTATACACTACTTTATTAAAGCCTTGGCGCAAACCAGTCTAACAACACGAGATTCTAGCATGTACTTCTGCTCTTCTTACAGGCGCTACTGTCTCTCTGGTCCCGGTTGTTCTGAGAGATTTAGTCGGCATTGAGAAACTCGGACCTTCCTATGGACTGCACATGTTGGCCACAGGGTTGGGTTCCCTACTGTTGTCAGCAGGAGGTATGTCAGCTAACAGAAACGTCATATTGTATAGTTTGGTTTTCATCTAGACCATTTTATGAGCACATGTCTGAAGAAATCTTTTTTTTTTGTAAGTATTCATTTACATGTAAATATTTACGTTAACTATTATTATAATTATTAATACCTCCGCCGAGGAGGTTATGTTTTTACCCCTGTTTGTCTGCGCTCTCGGAGTGCTTTTCTAGTTATTATTATTATTATTATTATTATTATTATTATTATTATTATTATTTGTTTTATTTGTTTTATTTCAGGCAGTTTGTACGATTTAACCGGGTCTTATGATGTGACGTTCTATATCACTGGCTCACTAGTGTTCCTTGCCGGCGGGAGCATTCTATTGTTACCATGGGTACGCAAGCTTCAGGATCGATGTTGTTACCATGGCAGTGCAAAAATCACAACAGATACGGAGCCATCAACATTTGATACGTCCATTCCCTAAATTATATTTAATAAGGAGACATTTAAAATAAAATGGCTAATGTTTTCTTTATAGTAATAATAATAACAATCTAAAAGATATATACAGTCTTCACATTGAATATGGGTTATTTTTTCTGCGTTTTTTTTTTTTTTTTTTTT